AATCATCAGATGTAGAGTCGCAGCTATTGAATGAAAGTAGTGGGGTAGCAGTGGTCTCACCGCGTTCGCATTCTGTTCGCCCCCGCCCCCATTGAGGCTGCCGCATTCCAGCCGGCGCTTAGTTCCACTGTTGGCCTCACCCTTTGGGCCCACTTCGTCATCGCACCCAGCGTTGGCCTTGCCATGGGGCCCTCTTGGCTCGTTTCGGTCTCTTGGGCTGTAGGGTGTCTTAGGGCAGCGCGAGCCCCGAGGCGCTCAAGGGTTCCGTGGGGCTCATAGGGCTCCTAGGCCTTGTGGCTTGATGTTTTCAGACAGCTCGATTGTTGGATGGTTGGTTGACTGGCTGGCAGGTCCAGTGGTTGGCTGCTTGATTGGGTGGCGCATGCGTTGACTATTGGCTTGCGTCCTTGGGTCAACGGCCAACGGCCTGCGTTCCTGCTCCTCCCCGCCCGTCCCCCCCTCCTCCGCCTCTCATCTTTACTTTAAAGTCCCGAAGGTGAGCGCGTGCGTTGGCACAGATCGAGTGAGGGGTGCGCGGACATAGGCCCGCGCTATGCTACCATTGCTACGCAAAGCTGCCGCATCTGCTGTTTTGTTCAAGGCTGTTTGGCTTGCGACGCTGAGGGCGTCGCCGCGTCCCAGCGCGACCAGGCTGCCACCATGGGCGGTGGCAAGCGCAGGTCTGCCGCTCCCGCTGGTGAGTCATCGGAGGCGCCGCCTCCGAAGGCGCCGAAGCTCGGGCCGCGCGAGTGCTGCGGGCGCAAGGCGAGCGAGGTCCCAGCAGCGCAAACTTACCGTCCACTGCCAACTCCTCCCCATCATCTCCTCATGTGCTCTTCGACCTCCTCACTCCGACATCCACCCTCTCCTCTGCTCGCGCCCCTCCCATGCGGTTCGCTCCAACCGACCTCGCGATCTTCCGACGCCCCCCCCCCCTCCGCGGATGGCGAGGGGTGGGGAGTGGTGGTGGTGGGGGGGGGGATAGGCAGGATAGTGGAGGAGAGGAGGGTAGTAAGGATATTTTTTGTTTGCGAGTATTGGTTTTCCAAGCCCCTTAAAGTTGACAGTGATGGCAACGCTGTGCAGTGGGCCGCATGCGCCATCCCGAAGGCTGCCAAACGCGGGGAGAGCCCGAAGCAGGAGCCCGTTGGCGTTCAGTGCGATGACTGTGTGGTGTTTCAGAATGAGCACATGCATTGGCTAACGTGGACAGAGTTCACCGACCTTGCGAAGAAGAACGAGACCCTCGGCCCCAAGATCCTGGAGGCCATGAGGATGAATCGGGCAGGCAAGACGCCTAACCTCCACGCCTGCCACCCTGCAGGGGTTTCGAGTATCAAGAGAACTGGCATCATGGTGTTCCGCGAGGGCTTGTTCTTGACGAAGCCTGATTGGGACAAGCTCTTCCCGAACGACCGCCCCTCGGATTTGAATGTGAAGAGCGTGCTGGGCGTCAACGAGGATGGTCAGAAGGTGCGCGGGTTTCCAGTGAAAGACGAGAGCCAACCGTACAGGAAGTTCAAGATGCACGGGACGTTGGACATCGAGAATATTGACCATTTTCTTCGGGAAGACGATGCTTTCGCCGTAGAGCAGGTCAATTTGGCGTTGAAGGCGGCAAGGAGCGAGGACCCGACTGGCATCAGTGACATCATGAGTGGCCAGGGCTTCTTCACGCTGGCGGAGCTCAAGGAGATGGGGGCTGCCAACCAGACCGACCGCGACGAGGCCCACAAGGCGTTGCAGATCGGCACAGAGACGGTCAACGACAGCGACGACAGCGACGACGGCACGGGCACCGTGGTGTGCGGCAGCGTCGTGAACCACATGGACATCGGCTTGGTTCTTCTAACCGGCCCGAGGGGAAGGAGGGGGGAGGAGAACGAGGGGGGCCGAGGGGCTTAAGGAGGAGGGGGAAGGAGGAGGAGAAGGAAAAGGAGGAGGGGCAGCGTGAGGACAGTGAGGAGTGATTTTCCAATTCAAGTTTGAACGTTTGCAACGGTCCGTGGTCCGATGCATGCGCCTAGAACGTCAGCCCCTTCTGTTCGGTGCCTCCCCGTTCGATTCCCTTCGACGTTCTCATTGTCGTTTCCCCGCGCCCCCAAGGTAGGTCCAACTCCTTGTATCGGGCGGCGGGGGGAATCATTCCGAGAACGCGGAAAGGAATCTTAAGCTATGACTTCTAATGTGCATTCATCTTCAGAGGACAACTCCGCCAAGAAGGGTGCGAAATCCACTGTGTCCTTCAACGCTGGTGCATCGTCTTCTGGAACATCGGGCCCTTGGTTCATGGACATGCTGCAGCAGGGCAAAAAGGTTCGGCTTTCGACGGTAGCAACGACAAGGGCCTCCGCAAGTCGACGGTCTACTGGCTATGGAAACTGGATGCGATGAGATTGCTGCGCCAGAAGAGTCTCGGGCGAGAGGAGACCCATGCGGAATCGCGCAGGGACAGGATGAAAAGCAAGGGGTTGACCAAGGACGTCGACGAAATCAATAATCTCCTTACTGTGCGCGAGCAGGTGCGCGTGCTTACCTCCGAGGTAGAGTACTTCAATGCCGCGGACGATGAGGTTCTTTTCCAAGCGCTTGATACTGTGGGTGCGGCGCTGAAGGATCGCCCGTTCCCTTCGGACATGCGCGGCAAGCTGCGCGCTCGGAGGTGCGTGCGTGCACGCGAGCAGATCCTACGCGAAGAACTTGGTGCATGACATGGCAGAGTACTTCAAAATCAATCGCCTGGTGCATCCGAGGTTTGAGTTCACCATGAAGCGCGTGGACCTCATGGCCCTCGACGGCTCTCCCGCCGAGAAGCTCAACAAGTTCAACGAGGTGATGTTCAATGACTTGATCTTGCAGCGCGTCTCCCGGGCTCTCGACGGCACCTCGGAAGTAACCTCAGGCGACGCCGTTTCTACGATATCTCTGTGTAGTGAAGTCTTGACTCAGGAGCTGGAGGCCTTCAGCGACGAGGAGATCTACGCCGACGCCCTTATGGACTTGCAGGAGGGGTTGCAGCTGGCCCTGACCCTCGCCGACGACTCCGCGGCTGACAAGTTGGGATCTCCTTTCGATCCAGACGGTGAACGGCCCGAGGTTTGCGTCCAGGCAATGTTCTTCAAGTACACCGCGATGAACCAGCAGGCTGCCACCCAGTGGTCGAACGTTGTCAAGACGTTCAAGGATACCACCGTGTGGAAGAACACTGCGTCATCTATCTTTGATAGCCTTCGCATGCCAGTGACGGCAGATCACGTGTCCGAGTTCATTGGGAAGGCTGTGGTAGCCATCAAGACTAGTGCGCCTGTGCTCGTGAACGGGCCTGCTGATATCACTCATGACCTTCGTCGTTCAATTGGGTGCGTTGTCAGGGATATCGTTAACCAGGTGCTGGCGAAGAACAGTGCCGCCCCAGACATCCAGTTGACAGATTCGTGTGGTAGCATGGTTGAGGCGCTTATTGGAACCAACCCAGTTGGCGTTCAGGAGTGGCATTGGGCGAAGGACAGCTTGAACAACGCGATCGCGACGGCAAAGGAGGTGTTGCTGAAGGGGTCGTTCATGGCCGCGTGTAACAGCGTTGCGGCCCTTGAGGTTGTCGACGAAACTATCTCCCTGCAGAACGGCGCGAACGTGGCTGTCTTCCAGGAGTTCGTGAAGCAGTTCACGAGCATGGGCCACACCTCGATCACCACTAGGCTTGCAGCCCAGGGCGCCTTCAGTCCAGCATTCGAGAAGATGGTTCGCACGTTGGCCGATAACCCAACAGAGCAGTGGAGCGAGCCTAAAAAGAACATCCTGTCTTGCATGGAGCAGCTCCTGAAGGTGATGGATCCTATGCCGAAGGGCGCGTCTGATGCAGTGATGACGTTGAAGGCGATCGAGGCGGCGGTGTCAGCTCAGCAGTCTCGGCTAGCTTTGGCAGGTGATGTGCGCGTCCGCTGGCAAGCCGGCTCAGGCAAGGAGAAGCTCACCGACCTCAAGCGTGCTACGAACAAGTTGGTTGAGTCGTTCGATGCGCTCTCGGCGGTCTCCAATAAGACGGGGGAGCTGATGCAAGTGTGTGCCAGGGCGGACGCCATCTCGTCCGACTTGAACTTTGCTTTGAATGAGACCCGAGAGCTGATCACGAACGGCGCTTTGCGCACCATCGGGAAGGCCATTCAGGAGTTCCAGCCAATCGCGAAGGGCGCGTCTGATGGGGCATCGTGGAGTGCAGAGTGCAGCCCCGAGGCCGACTTGAAGGACCTCATCGCCGTTGCAGAGGATAGCTTGTTCACGTTCGATGGCAAGCGCTTCGTGGAGTACCTCGAGAATCTCAAGAAGGACTTCAGGGGCAGTTGAACCACGGCGGTAGGAGAGGTAGAAGGAGAAGGAGAGGTAGAAGGAGGGAGGGATGAGGTAGCATAGGGAGGCAGTGGAGGAAGCACGAGGGGGAGGGGGGACGGATGAGGACGGGGGGGGGGGGGGAGGAGATGATGATGGGCGAGGCGGCAGGACATGTTCGGGAGGCGCCCTCACCTCCTAACCCTGCCGTCCTCGTCATCGAAGTCGCTGCTTTCACCATCCCTCGTCCCTCCCCCCTCTTCGCTCCCTCCCCCATCGCTCCCTCGCCTCTTCCCCCCCGCCTTCCCTCCCTTCCTTCCTCTTCGCCACCTTTTGCTTCTCGTTCTACTCCTCGTTGCCCTCCTCCTCCCATCTCCTTCTCCTCGTCCTCCTCCACCCTACCCTCCTCCCTCCCCCTCTCCCCCTGCTCGTCGCCCACCCCTAATCCTTCTCCATCGCTCCTCGGGCCGAGCGCCGCCGCTCAAGGACGTGGGATCCCTTGCGGCCCCTGTCCCGTCATTCCTCCATGCCCTCGCCCCCGGCCTCCGCCCCCCCCCCCCTCCCCCCCCTGACAGAGAGGGCGCGGTGGCATGGGGGGGGGGGGGGGGGGGGGGGGGGGCGCGAGGAGGAATGATGGTGACAGGCACTCCCCTCACCTACAGGAGTGGGGGCACATGCAGGCGGTCAAGAGTTTCTTCCAGTGGGATTGGGATGCCCGCGACGTGCCAGCGCTGCTAAGGGACGGCACCAGGACCGATCTTGAGTATGTGCTGATCAGGCGTTCCAAGCAGTTCTTGTCGATCGCGAAGCCGACTTCGGACGACAAGATGGCGCTGCGGCTCGACGTCAGCAAGGAGCTGGCGAGCAAGCAGAAGGAGGACGGCGTGGCGATGGAGATCCTCCATCCGTCGCTGGCGGCGGCGGCGGAGCTGGCCAAGGTCGGGACGTTTCCTCAGTGAGGCCCCCCGTACCGCCGCTGGATAGAGGAGGAGGGGGTGGTGAGGCCCTTGCGGCCCATCTGTACATATAATAAGCGCTTCGCGTATTCCCGCCATCCCGTTCAGGAGCGGTTCCACTGCGAGTTGGCGCTGGCACACATGAACGTTGTGCTATACATGTCCGCGTCACTGATGGCGCGGACAGGCATGGCGCCACGTGCATGAGTGAATGGGGCTACTTTGATGGGGCGGGAGGGGGGATCAGAGAGGATATGCATGCTGATCAGGGGGTGTAGATATTGAGGTGTGTAGTTTGTGTTGTTGTTGATGCGTCTTGGGTATTCGTGCCCCCTTTGTTTCGCACTAGGGCGGTTGCATCTTGACGTCGTTGGCTAGCCTCTTGGACGGAGCCCGCGCGCTCAGGTAGGACACCAGTGACGGGGGACCTTGAGGATGGCCGATCAGTGGGATAGGGCTGTAGCCCCGCCCCTTGGGAGCCAATCGGGTTGCCACTACTGGTTACGTCTTTCGGCGCTCTTGGGGTGGCAGGTGTAGGCCTTTGGGTTGATATGGGTTCTCTTGGGCATATCGGTGGCCTTCCAAGGGAGATGCTGAAACCAGCCTGGAGCCTCTGCGGTAACCTGGTGGGAAATCGTGAGATGGCGAGGCACCCGCGTTTTCCTTGGGTTGTTGAGTCGGCCGGGCCCCTCGGCGGCGTTTTTTTTTTTTTTTTTTTTTTTTTGGGGGG